AAATTAAAGGACTGGACTAGGTGTCTTTTTAAGGTAGTCTAAAATATTCTATTATTAGTAATATTCACAACAAAAATAGTAAGAGGTTATTGCAGAGGCTCAAGAGTTTTACTCATTACCCCATTGGTAAGCAAGAATCATAATTACAATAATAAAGATTTATATTTTTGAGTAATTTCAATGCCTTTCTTGCAAGGTGTTGAACGTGTTTTGCACGCAACAGCTCATCAGTCACACTAGTCCATGAATCCTGGTATCGTGACTGCGGAAAGGTGCCACAGCTTCTCGTAGCCTCCAGCTAGCTAGGTCTCTATGTTTATAGTGTAAAAAGTGAATTCTCCTTCCTCTGACTAGCAGGTATTTTCCACTCAAATGACATATTATCTTCTGAATCAGAATGCTATCTACAACCAATCCTAGTTCTAGACAGAGAAACACAAAAGCCTTTTTCATGTCAATACCAGTCACATAATTTCATATATATATATATACATATATATATACACACACACACACACACACACACACACACACACACACTTTAAAATCTTGATCTCTACTAAAATTACTTGAAAGAATAACTTTCTGATACAAATGCCATAAAATTAATGTTTAGCTACAGAAAGAAAAACGGTAAGACCATGAAAAATCCCACCCAGTGAGAGTTACATGCTGAAACCATAAACCTTGCTTACCGGACTACTTTGTAAACCAGCCATTTGTGAACAATTACTTTAAATCATCATGCCATTCATTATCCTGAAAAACAGGATAATGGAATGCTCTATCTCCCCAAAGTCTGCTCACTGTAAACAGTCCATCCCTCCTTGAGGACTCCAAAAGCTGTATAAACATACTGCAATCAAACCCACCATAGCTCACAGAAATCCTTTCTTTAAGTAATCTACAGAATGCCAATCTAATACAAATACAAGAAAGAGAAGTTCTTACTAACACAATATTTTGTATTTACAGTATTCTGAACAGTGCTTAAACCTGCACTGGTTATATAAAGATACCCCCCCACGCCACCTCCCACCCCAGGCTGACAGCATGCTTAGTTCTCTCATTTACACCACACTGCAATAACATAAAGAGGGGCTTACTATTAATCCAGGTTTTACTACAAAGCGACCCGTTATTTCTCTGTCAAACACTGGCAAGAGTGCCAAGTGTCTGTCATCCAATTCAAGGGATTAAGTCTTCTTTTATAGTCTGATACTTGTACCAATTTATAAAAATACAGATATAGTTTCTTAGAGTTGGTCACAGTCTATATTTTGGCTTGGATTCAGGCAGTAGAGGTTGACTATGACAGCTGGCAGGAAACTGAGGGGAGAATACATCCTCCCCCTTCAGTCACCACATCTCAGTTGCCATAGTGATTAATCCTTAATGGAAGGCTGTCTTTGTACATTTCTTTTCAGAAAATTTTAAGTAAACTTAAGTTGAATACGTGCAGTTGACTGAGAAAAGGAGGTATCGCATCACAAACAGGTACAGTTCAGCTCCGTGACATACATCCATATATTAAAAGAACAGACGAACTCTAATAAAGGTATTACCAGTTCCTTCAAATGCTTAAAATGTTTCTTTTTGGACTGAGTTTAAACCTAAGTCACACAGGTTTTCTCTCCTGTTATCAGACATTTCATCTTGTAAAATGAGCTGTTTTTCAGAAATGGTTCTAAAATATCAAAATATAATTTTAGACAAAATGTGTTCTTACTTTGCACATTACTTTACATAATTTGTATTATCAAATAACAATGGTATAATTCGAAATTTATGTTAGAAGAGACAGGACATCTATAAAATACAGAACATAAATAAAAGCTAGTTTATAGAAGTATAAACTGTAAGAAACCAAAGGAAACACTGAAAACAGTAATGTATCTTATTCCTTTTTAAGATATATGATTGAACTTGAAAAGCAGATTCACAGTTTTTGTCATTTTGTTCATCAATAATTACCAGACATCAAAAAGACTGAAAAACTCTGAAAGACCACAGAATCTTATCTAGCACTATGGAGTTTATTACTTCTCTTTTACAATTTTCCATTTGGTATATTCCTTTGCAATCTAGTTAAAGGTTCTAATTCAGACTCAACTACGGTATTCCTTAGAAACTGAAATACTTTGACCACTGTTATTTGTGTACTGCTTTCATAAACAAATAGGATTTATTTTCTTGCTGAGACAACATGTCTGCAACTGACACACAGGCATGCACACACAATCTTTTCAAACACAAGTAAAGTTCTTTAATAAACTTTGATGACAGACTTGAAGCACTCAGAAGAATTCTCAGTAATCGAAAAGATTCTAGATTGAGCCCCAGATGAAAGACACTGTACTGTTGGTGGGAGGTCTGGGGTTTTTTGGAGACCTCAGGATCAAGAAGTTTGCAGGTATTTTCTAACACTATGATTGAGTCTCTTTTGTTCTTGCTTCATTTCCCTTTCCCTTTGTTTATTCTCTTTTCTTCTAGTAACTTTTTTTCAAAACTGCAAATTCACTATTGCCACCCACTGCAACACCAGCTGCAAAACCTCTCAGTGAGTGACATAAATATCTCTAGCCAAAGATGACGGTATGTTTCAATGATTTCCTCATTCGAGGTGCTGATGTAATATTGACACGATAGGGTGAAATCGGTGATTGGGAACACTTTTTCTCAGAAATTCTATGAGACAGCTTTGAAACGTTAGAATGAAATTTTGTTGTATCAACTACTGACTTAAGTCAGCCAGTGAAATAAGCGTTATCTGTAGACTGTGTTTGGCCTGCTAGCATTGGTGCCATGGGAATGGACCTCCCATTTAGTGGCTTTAAAACTTCACCACAATTTAGTCATTAAACAGCTAATTTCTTTCTTCTCTGAAAAGGGTTACTAAGTTGGGGTATGTGTGATGAGGGATATATACGGCCTCGAAGGGTATATTACAACCCCCAGGGAGTAGGTATTCCGATTTGTTTCCAAGCAAGAGATGCCCCTCCCTCTGAAAATCACTGTGAAGAGACAAGGTTTCTAATGAGATTGTGTTGTCCACCTCAAAAATATTTGGACTGAAAAAGCTCACAGGCAAACTGTGTTTCTGGCATTTTCATTTGTATAACTTTCCTTAAGAAGAAGGCTGCTTCTCAGGTCAATTTTTGCAGAAATTATATGCTTGTAAATTTCTTCTCTGATAAATATTTAGACAAGCTAATGACCAGTATCCAATTATTTCATTAATGTCCACTACAGGGGTTTGCCAAATTATCTGACCTTTCACATTAAAATTTGTTTGTATGGAGGTTTTAAAAAAGGGCACAGCTTGAAAAAGAATCCTAACAAAAAATTAGCTATCTGTTTAAAAGATTCTGATATACTCTTTATCCTAACAAAGCAAGTTTCTGGAAAACCTAACATAATTCTGCCTGCCTTTTTCAGATGGCACATATACGGTAGTCAAACTGTAGAAATGCTGTTTAAAGTGTTGGTTGAGAAATGGTACATTCCTGGATCAAATGAGAAGACAAGTATAAAAAGCAGCATACTTGGGTCATGAAAGAATGCTTTCACGAGTTGTAGTTTGGCATTGGGCCTATGGATGACATTGAAAAATACTGGAAAGTATAGCCTTTTAAAGTCTGTTATTACATTTATTCTAAGGATATTATTATATGACATCTGACTGTTCACTATATCGTTCTGTGGTCCCAAAAAACCCCCAAGAGACAAATTTCCTTCAAATGAAGTGCTAGGAAAAGCTTTGCTTCTCCTAGAACCCATGTTATATATATTTTTTTCCTTAAGGATAAAGATTTTACTCAGCCTTTCTCAGCACGGTGTTACAGCATTTTGGGCAGAACAATTCTTTGCATGCAGGAGTGCCTCTCTACTAGCCCCCTCAACCTAGTCCCCTCTCCAGGACAGCCATGTGGAATCCCTGGCTTCCAGACATGAATGCCAGTTAGGCATTCAGTCACTGTGACCACCCAAACTGTCCACACACATTTCCACATGCACTAGTTGACTACATAGATGGCTTACCTCCTTTGTTTTTTCTACCAGAAAACTCAATCAAATTAGCCATTTTAATACAGTATCTGGGTAGAATGTATTATGTCCTAAGCAGTTGCAGTCTAACTTTCTCTCAGTCTTAAACTTCCAGTTTAATTTATATTTTCTCTGGTCCTGAATTTTATTTTGTACTCTGGTTTTATTGTTAAGGTAATTTAATTCCTTTGTCAAACAAGTGAGGTACAAATAAATTAATTCTCTTGATAGTTCAGAGGAATTCTACCCCCACCTTCATTACTAAAAGTATAATAGCACTAAGTTGACATAAAATATTGGTATTATATACAATATGTATTTTGAACTCTCACCCATAAAGTGATAGTGAAATTGCTCTTGAGACACTTAGCTCTTAAAAAATAATAAAGAATAATGAGTCAAACAGAAGAAACTATTTTTAAAAAACCTGTGATGAAAGTGACTATGTACAAACAAAAATATCACAACAGCAATTTTAAGTGAGAAAAGCCCACAGGGAGTATTTATGACTTTTAACAGTATAAAATTCCTTTTGCTAAAAATATAAATTCTACATGAAATGAGTTTTCTGTGTGTGTCATTTTGGTGAAAAATTGTGGAGCAATCTAACCACACACTTTCCTTTTTCCACATGATCAGAAATGGTTTTGGTTCTGATTGAACTATATGACTCCTTCAGATTCCTTTTCCTTTTGGGGGTACTGTCCAATTTTAATTGAGGGAAACCATTAAGCAACTCAACATTATTAGGCATTTGGGTATAAATCTGTTGTTTAATCTGAAACATCTTCAATGACTATAGTTCCCAAATGGTGTTTTGATTTTTACACTTATTTGTATGTCACTTACAGTTTTAGTAGCTACTTTTGAGGGAGTACTTAGAGAAGATGCTACGGAGTAAATTCTGTAAAAAATGAGACAACTAAGATGATACTACCTTATATTCTTCTTACCTTAGAAGTGCAAACAGCTATGTTAGCAGGCAGCTGGGAAAACTGCTTCAACTCAAATACATCATGTGCCGCCCATCGGCTCATGTGATTTTCAGCTTTGCTCGATCCAATCACATTCTGGTTGGAGTGAATATAAGCCACTCCCCGAACACCATCTAGGAGGTAATTGAGGTTTATTAAGTGATCTATCAGTATAAAGCAATATGGTTCCATAAAAACACATTATTCTTATTTTTAATATGCGAGAAACATCAACATCACAATATTCTTTAGGAAAAAAATGGGAAAGAGTTCAAGTATGTTGGTCTAGGTTACCTTGGAAATGACTTTTCCTTCTCATCAATGCGAGATGAAAACTAGATAGTAGGTAACAATCTTTAGATTTAAACTTGAAATGGAGGTTTTAGTAAGAGAAAAGTCATGGTTGAGGAGGGTCCCCTCTATGAATTTGTTTTCATTGTTAATTTTTTAAAAAGTTGCTCACTAATTTAAAGAATGAAGCTAACCTTATCTGTCCCTTTAAACATGTACTTGACTACAGTGATGGAAAGGGAGTATGGGGTTTATGACCAGGGAGTTTAGTTTGATTGGCTTTGCTCAGTTTTATTGTTCGTATTTTGTCTTTTTTGTACATATGCCCAGAGAATGTCAAGATGAGAGCTTTTTAGGAAATGAGAAAAATTAACTCAGCTTTTATCTGAAAGAGGTTTAAAAAATGGCTACAATTTTTATTGCTTTGCTTCTAGGCACCTATAATTCATTTTTGAATTGTGATCATAAAAGAGAAGGCTAGAATTGAAGCCTGTAAGAGCTCCCTCCAACAGCTCTGGCAATGAACCTGAGGGATGACCTTCAGCACTTGTGTTGTTTCGGTCCTGAACCTCTTCAACCAGAAATTGCCAATCATGCAAACATAAGACGTTGTTAAATAATATGAAGAGACAGTAACTCGTTTGACATTCTCCTTAAATTTCAAGATGCCAGGTAATATACACAGCATATAGTTTCAAAACCTTCACGGCAGAAAATTTCCTCAGATGTTTAATTTTGATGACACATTTTATCCATTATTCAAAATAGCATTAGTTCCAAACTAACTATTGACACTTTCACAGTAAAAAACAAAAAAACAAACAAAAAACCCCAGAAAACCCTGAGCTGATTATTTAAAAATAGTTTATACAATAATTCCTAAACCTAAAATCTAACTGTAGCACACAAACTGAAGGGATAATTCAACACTTATTTACAATGATACCAAAATATATATCATAACAAACTTCTAAATAAGAATACTAATAGCCACAAAGCCTGATTTATATATAAATCAAACAAAGCAATTAAGATTTCTATAGCAAAATATCCTAGATTATATCTCAGCTTCTTTCATATAGTTTTTGGGGAATAAGACACTTGTGAAGGCAATGCTAACTCTTAAAATTACCACACAGATTCTGGGCAGAGGGTGCTAACAGCAGAAGCATGAGACTTTCTGAATCTGTACACAAAAACAGACAGCAACTACACAACAAAACCAAAAGCCCATGGACATTTACAACAAAATTACATAACAAGATACCCTCAGGACCCCTAAAGTACAAGCAGGTGGGCAAAATCTACCAGTAACTCTGCATGGTTTCAGCAACTGTGTGAAGGAAGAAGGAAGCAATGGGGCTCCTGACAGACCTGAGAACAGGAGACCCCAGAATAGCCAATAGGTATTCACAGGAAAGCACAAGGGGCCAGCTGGAGACCAGCAGCTGAATCGGTGAAGGTTTCCTGCTCTCCAATGCTGAGAGGGTGCAGGGGGTACACAGTAAGAAGGCCTGGAGGGGCTGGAGCAAGCCAACCTCTAGAACCCCCCAAACTGACCCACCAGGGCCCTCACCCAGGTCAGGGCCGAACAAAGAAGAAAAACTGCTGGGAGTGAATCAAGGATAGGAAGAACAAGGATGAGAGAAAGAAAAGATCTAGAGCAACGCAAGGCAGAGAGGGAGGAAAGCCCATAAGTGTGGCACTCTACAAAGAAATAACATGATCTCTGCAAAGCGAACAACGATTTCCTGAACTCTGCTTCACTTGTAAAATTCAGGGGAAATAATTTCATATAAAAATGACCAGAAGAAAAATAGCAGGGTCAAATCTCATAAAAATTATTGTGAGAAAAAAGGGAACAAGCAGAATAATATCACTCCAATGAAAATGTGCTGGAAAGATGTGCTCACGAAACAGAAAAAGACATGAATCAACAACAATGGAAATCAGAATTAGAGGAACTCAGAGATGAGTGACAAGGTCTTAGGAAAGACTTAGAAATTTTTTTTAATTTAAAAAATGACGGACAAAATAGAAAGGAATATAAGTGAATTGATGGAGCTGAAAAACGCAACACGAGAACTTCGTGAAGCGTGCACAGGTATCAACAGCCGAACTGACCAAGCAGAAGAAAGGATATCAGAGGTCAAAGATCAACTCAATGAAATAAAACGGGAAGGCAAGACTGGAGAAAAAAGGGTAAAAAGGAATGAACAAAGTCTCCAAGAAATGTGGGACTATGTGAAAAGACCTAATCTATGTTTGATAGGCGTACCCGAATGTGACGAAGAGAATGAATCCAAGCTGGAAAATACTCTTCAGGATATTATCCAGGAAAACTTCCCCAACCTAGCAAGGCAGGCAAACATTCAAGTCCAGGAAATACAGAGAACGCCACAAAGATATTCGTCAAGAAGAGCAACCCCAAGGCACATAATCGTCAGATTCACCAGAGTTGAAATGAAGGAGAAAATACTAAGGGCAGCCAGAGAGAAAGGTTGGGTTACCCATAAAGGGAAGCCCATCAGACTCACAGCAGATCTCTCAGCAGAAACCCTACAAGCCAGAAGAGAGTGGGGGCCAATATTCAACATCCTTAAAGAAAAGAACTTTCAACCCAGAATCTCCTATCCAGCCAAACTAAGCTTCATAAGTGAAGGAAAAATAAAATCCTTCGGGAACATGCAAGTACTCAGAGATTTCGTCACCACCAGGCCAGCTCTACAAGAGCTCCTGAAAGAGGCTCTACACATATAAAGGCAACAAATACCAGCTCAACTAAAGGGCAAAACACCCAGCTAGCACCAAAATGGCAGTATCAAATTCACACATAACAATATTAACCCTAAATGTAAATGGACTAAATGCCCCAATCAAAAGACAAAGACTGGCAAATTGGATAAAAAGACAAAACCCATCCGTGTGCTGTATCTAGGAAACCCATCTCACATGCAAGGATACATGAAGGCTCAAAATAAAGGGATGGAGGAAGATTTACCAAGCAAATGGAGAGCAAAAAAAAGGAGGAGTTGCAATTCTCATCTCTGATAAATTAGACTTTAAAGCAACAAATATCATAAGAGACAAAGAGGGACATTACATAATGGTAAAAGGATCAATGCAACAAGAAGAGCTAACGATCCTAAATATATACGCACCCAATACAGGAGCACCCAGATACATAAGGCAAGTTCTTAATGACTTACAAAGAGACTTAGACTCCCACACAATAATAGTGGGAGACTTTAACACCCCATTGTCAACATTAGACAGATCAACCAGACAGAAAATTAACAAGGATATCCAGGGCTTGAACTCAGACCTGGACCAAGCAAACCTAATAGACATTTACAGAACTCTCCACCCCAAATCCACAGAATATACATTCTTCTCAGCACCACATCACACCTACTCTAAAATTGACCACATAATTGGGAGTAAATCACTCCTCAGCAAATGCAAAAGAACGGAAATCGTAACAAACAGTCTCTCAGACCACAGTGCAATCAAGTTAGAACTCAGAATTCAAAAACTAACCCAGAACCGCACAGCTTCATGGAAACTGAACAACTTGTTCTTGAATGTTGACTGGATAAACAATGAAATGAAGACAGAAATAAAGATGTTCTTCGAAACCAATGAGAATGAAGACACAACATACCAGAATCTCTGGGACACAATTAAAGTAGTCTCTAGAGGAAAATATATAGCAATAAGTGCCCACATGAGAAGCAAGGAGAGATAAAAAATTGACACCCTATTGTCAAAACTGAAAGAGGTAGAGGAGCAAGATAAAAAAAACTCAAAGTCTAGCAGAAGACAAGAAATAGCTAAGATCAGAGCAGAACTGAAGGAGATAGAGACACAAAAAACCCTTCAAAAAAATCAATAAATCCAGGAGCTGGTTTTTTGAAAAGATCAACAAAATAGACAGACCACTAGCCAGATTAATAAAAAAGAAAAGAGAGAATAACCAAATTGATGCAATAAAAAACGATAAAGGGGATATCACCATAGATTCCACAGAAATTCAAACCATCATCAGAGATTATTACAAACAACTCTATGCACACAAACTAATAAACCTGGAAGAAATGGATAAATTCCTGGACACTTGCCCCCTGCCAAGCCTAAACCAGGAAGAAGCCAAAACCCCGAACAGACCCAAAACAAGGTCTGAAGTTGAGGCAGCAATTAAGAGCTTACCACCCAAAAAAAGTCCAGGTCCAGATAGGTTCACAGCTGAATTCTACCAGACATACAAAGAGGAGCTGGTACCATTCCTTCTGAAACTATTCCAAACAATCCAAAAAGAGGGAATTCTTCCCAAATCATTTTATGACACCAACATCATCCTGATTCCAAATCCCGGCAGAGACTCAACAAGAAAAGAAAACTTCAGGCCAATATCCACGATGAACACAGATGCAAAAATCTTCAATAAAATACTGACAACCCGATTGCAACAGCACATCAAAAAGCTTATCCACCATGATCAAGTAGGCTTCATCCCGGGGATGCAAGGCTGGTTCAACATACGCAAGTCTATAAACGCAATTCACCACATAAACAGAACCAAAGACAAAGACCACATGATTATCTCAATTGATGAAGAGAAGGCCTTTAACAAAATTCAACAGCCCTTTATGCTAAAAACCCTCAATAAGCTAGGTATCGATGGAACGTATCTCAAAACAATAAAAGCTATTTATGACAAACCAACAGCCAATATCATACTGAATGGGCAAAAACTGGAAGCATTCCCCTTGAAATGTGGCACCAGACAAGGATGCCCTCTCTCACCACTGCTATTCAATATAGTATTAGAAGTTCTAGCCAGAGCAATCAGGCAAGAAAAAGAAATAAAGGGCATTCAAATAGGAAAGGAGGAAGTCAAATTGTCTCTATTTGCAGACGACATGATTGTATATCTAGAAGAGCCCATCGTCTCAGCCCCAAACCTCCTGAAACTGATAAGCAAGTTCAGCAAAGTCTCAGGATACAAAATCAATGTGTAAAAATCACATGCATTCCTATACACCAATAACAGACTTAAAGAGAGCCAAATCAAGAACAAACTTCCATTCACAATTGCCACAAAGAGAATAAAATACCTAGGAATACAACTAACAAGGAATGTGAAGGACCTCTTCAAGGAGAACTACAAGCCACTGCTCGACGAAATAAGAGAGGACACAAACAGATGGAGAAACATTCCATGCTCATGGTTAGGAAGAATCAATATCGTGAAAATGGCCATACTGCCCAAACTAATTTACAGATTCAATGCTATCCCCATCAAGCTACCAATGACCTTCTTCGCAGAACTGGAAAAAACCACCTTAAACTTCATATGGAACCAAAAGAGAGCCCGCATAGCCAAGTCAATTCTAAGCAAAAAGTACAAAGCAGGGGGCATCACACTACCAGACTTCAAACTATACTACAAGGCTACAGTAATCAAAACAGCATGGTACTAGTACCAAAACAGAGATATAGACCAATGGAACAGAACAGAGGTCTCGGAGGCAACATAACATATCTACAACCATCTGATCTTTGACAAACCAGACAAAAACAAGCAATGGGGAAACGATTCCCTGTTCAATAAATGGTGTTGGGAAAACTGGCTAGCCCTGTGCAGAAAGCAGAAACTGGACCCCTTCCTGACACCTCACACTAACATTAACTCCAGATGGATTAAAGACTTAAACATAAGACCTAACACCATAAAAACCCTAGAAGAAAACCTAGGCAAAACCATTCAGGACATAGTAGGCAAGGACTTCATGACCAAAACACCAAAAGCATTGACAACAAAAGCCAAAATAGACAAATGAGACCTAATCAAACTCCACAGCTTCTGCACAGCAAAAGAAACAATCATTAGAGTGAATCGGCAACCAACAGAATGGGAAAAAATTTTTGCAGTTTACCCATCTGACAAAGGGCTGATATTCAGAATTTACAAAGAACTAAAACAGATTTACAAGAAAAAAACTAACAAGCCCATTCAAAAGTGGGCAAAGGATATGAAAAGACACTTTACAAAAGAAGACATACATGAGGCCAGGAAGCTTATGAAAAAATGCTCATCATCACTGGTCATCAGAGAATTGCAAATCAAAACAACATTGAGATACCATCTCACGCCAGTTAGAATGGCGATCATTAAAAAATCTGGAGACAACAGATGCTGGAGAGGATGTGGAGAAATAGGAACACTTTTACACTGTTGGTGGGAGTGTAAATTAGTTCAACCATTGTGGAAGACAGTGTGGCGATTCCTCAAGGACCTAGAAATAGAAATTCCATTTGACCCAGCAATCCCATTACTGGGTATATATCCAAAGGATTACAAATCATTCTACTATAAGGACACGTGCACACGAATGCTCACTGCAGCACTGTTTACAATAGCAAAGACCTGGAACCAACCCAAATGCCCATCGACGATAGACTGGACAGGGAAAATGTGGCACATATACACCATGGAATATTATGCAGCCATCAAAAACAATGAGTTTGGGTCCTTTGTGGGGACATGGATGAACCTGGAAACCATCATTCTCAGCAAACTGACGCAAGAGCAGAAGATCAAACACCACATGTTCTCACTCATAGGCGGGTGTTGAACAATGAGGACACATGGACACAGGGAGGGGAGCGCTACACACTGGCGTCAGTTGGGGGGAAATAGGGGAGGGACGGTGGGGGGTGGGGAGCTGGGGAGAGATAGCAAGGGGAGAAATGCCAGATGTAGGTGATGGGGAGGAAGGCAGCAAATCACACTGCCACGTGTGTACCTATGCAACAATTGTGCATGTTCTTCACATGTACCCCAAAACCTAAAATGCAATAAAATAAATAAATGGGAAAAAATAAAAATAAAATAAAAATAAAAAAATAAAAATAAAAAATGAGTGAACTAGAAGAAACCTAAGAGGGAATAAACACAACAGATAAGCCTTAAGAAAAACAGAATATTTTAAAAAAGCAAAATGAAATGAAGAGATAAAAGATTTGAGAGACTTCAGGCAAAGATGACTGAACATCTAAGTAACAGGAGTCCCTAAGGAAGAAGGCCAAAGCAAAGGAATAGAACAAGTAACTAAAAACATTAGTACAAGAAAGTCTTTCCCAAAAGAAAATTTGAGTGGAAGCAACACTGCGTATACGAGAATACAGACCCAGGACAACCAACATCAACACACCATCTAGTAAAATTATTGGACAATGAAAAGAAAAAAATCCCCTGGTAATCTAAGGAGGAAAAAAAAAAAAGAACACATAATACCATACTTTATGCCAGAAGAAAACGAAGCTATGTATTTCAAGACACTCAAGAAAAGACAACGTGAGCCAAGTATTTTATATCCAGCAAAACTTAACTTTTAAGTATAAGGGCACTAAATTGTTGTAAGAATCTCAGGGAATATTATTCTCATAAACACTTCTTCAGGAATCTACTAGACAGTAAGATTCGGACAATCAGAGTGATGAAAGGAACACTGGCACTAAGAGCTGATGGAGTGCATGAAATGTGTAGTTACCTATGGACCAAGAGTAACTGAAGTGTAAGTGGGGAGAGTATATGATGCAATGTCTGTGTCTTTGACAGTGAAGATGTAGTATATCCATTTTAAAAACGGAAGAAAAGGGAGAGTATAGGCAAAAACAAACTCTGAATGTTGATCCAGTCTCAGGAACCAACTGCTCTTTCACAGGTAATAGAGGACAGAGGAGCATGTTTAAATGCATGGAGAGGATACAATTAGCAAAATGAAAATTGAGGGAAACTTCTAGAGTTGATCCAGGTACTTCCACAGTTACATTGTAAGGCAATTAAAGGGATGAGGATTCCTGTAGATTAGAAGACACTATATAACATTTTAAAAAATGACTGAGACTAAACCATAATACCTAGTGATATGGTTTGGTTGTGTCTCCACCCAAAACTCATCTTGAATTGTAGCTCCCACAATTCCCATGTGTCATGGGAGGAGCCTGGTGGGAGGTAACTGAATCTTTCCCATGTTGTTCTCATGACAGTAAGTCTCACGAGATCTGATGGTTTTATAAAGAGGAGTTCCCCTGCACAAGCTCTCTTTCTTTGCCTGCCACCATCCATGTAAGACGTGACTTGCTCCTTGCCTTTTGCCATGATTGTGAGGCCTCCCCAGCCATGTGGAACTGTGAATCTATTACACCCTTTTTTCTTCCCAGTCTCAAGTATGTCTTTATCAGCAGCGTGAAAATGAACTAATTCACCTACATATGAACATTTGGTGATATAACCATATAAATGTAAATAAGTAATTACTATAGAAGCTAGAATAATTGGTATTTATGGGGGCAGAGGAGCTGTGATTTGGACAGGCACATGGAGGGGGTCCTTGGGTAGACGGCAACATTCTCTATCTTGACCTATATGTGGTCTCCCATTTATCCTGCTACCCAGCCCTTCCTTATTTATGTCTCAATCTAGCATCTTGATTCAAAGTTCCTCACAGAACTATTTGATAAAACAAAACATATTTTTAAAAGTTTTCATAATGTGTCTTTGGTTACCTAAAAATTTATCCATTGATTCATACGACTGCTCTTGATTGACAACTTTCTCATTTGAACATTTCATTGGTTTTCTTGGCATCAAAGTGCTATTTTTCTTATTTTGGCTAGGCAATTTTGAAGAAAAACTGGTTCTATCTTTTATAGTTCTTGGTCTGTGGCTCTGTTTAGAGAAACTGAAGTGGCTGACGGATAAACTTTCATCTGAGGATGAATAATCATCAATAAATTGAGAGTTATGATCCTCATCTCTTGCACGTACTTGGTTTGTTTTGCTCATTGTTTTAGGAAAACTGTGAAGTTCTTTCCTGGTTTCCTTTCTTCTCTTAAACCTCAATGAACTAGTAACTCTCTTTCTTACTCTTGACTTGGAAGAAATCTCAATGTCATCAGATTCATCACTGATATCACTAGTGACTTTTCTTTTCACAATAGATTTCAGGGTTGTGTTCTCAGGACTTAACTTTTTTGAAATTATTTCATCTCTTCTGTCACCAGTCTTTCGACCATCATCATCATTTCTTGTTTTTACAGAGTGTTCTGTTTCAGAATCCTCAGATTCCTCCAAGCGTGGCTTAAACTTTATACTATTGTTGGGGAATCTCTCAGTTGGATATTGTGTAGGACAGATGACATCACTATCTTCTGATTCTGAGACATTCTGTAAAATGCAATGTTTATCTGTATTTCTAAATTTTTTCTCATCATCAGACTTAGAAGAAATTTTCTGTTCTAAAATCTTCTCATTTTTATAAAAAATATACTTTTCTCTTGGATTTAGGATGTTATCTAATTTCTGATGTTTTGAAGTACCAAGAGAGTCCTGATTTTTCTCACAATCAGCAACTGTGGCTTCTGTTGAAAGGCATATGGGCTGCTCATCAGAACTTTCATCAGAAGAAGCAGTATTTCCATCACTGTCCTCAACTGCTTTACATTTTGTCTCAAACAATTTCGAGAAACCACACTGAAGTAAAGTAAGCTGTCCTGGAGAGGTGGAAGCTTTACTTGAATCGGGTGCTTTGTTTTTGGCAGTCTGTACTCCTGCAACTCCCACTGGATCTTCATCACTGAAGTCGCTGCAGAAATCATACACTTCCTTTGCCAGTGGCTCTGCAGCTTGCTCTGGACCTCTGCGTTCCTGACAGTCAGGCTCTGTAGGCTATAGAAGAAGCAATGATAAAAACCTCAGAAAACCTCAAGGTAATAATAAGGAATCAACTGAACAACTCTGGGCAGGTAATTTAGGTACAAGCATATCACTTAGTATTTACAACATTTAATAAATAAATGTAAAGCGTTTAATATCATAGTCTAGTACAGTCTTTTCTCTTTCCATGTTGAATATTGTTCCAAAATAGATAAAAGTTTAAACTAGAGTACCACATAATCAAAGTATTCTGAAGAAAAACATAAAGTGAAGTGTTTGGCTTCTAAGATGCAAGGACACATAATTCTGGCCTCAAAAGTGAAAAGCACACAACTTGCTGCTTCAGAATTACTGGAGTTTACAGTAGTCCAGCATATACTTCCAATCATGCTTTAAGAATAAGACAGATTACAGGAGTTAACAAGGTAAAGAACTGATAACTGGAAAATTGTTCTAATTGATTTAAAAGGCTAACGGGATCTTGATCACCAGAAATAAAGACTCTTGAAATAAAATTTGCTACAAATTTAAATTCAATATGTAATTTTTTCACAATAATCAGAGTTAAATATATCTTACAGTTTTCTAAAACTGAGGCTCTACTAGTAAAAGATTGTGGGAAGGTATCATCTGGTAATACTTTTGCCAATATTTGATATTTGTGTACTTCTCTAAATGCATAAAAATTTCACCCCAAATTTATAGTCATTGGGCTGGTATAAATTGATAGTTAATACTCTACAAGTAAACAAGAAAAACCAGCAATATTAACAAGAAAATCTTCCACACATATTTTTTACCTTTGAGATGGTCTTATAATGACAATAAAGATTTTGTGGTACATGAGATGGCAAACTACTATAAAGATCACAAAATTAAGGCATCAAATAAAATAAAATAACCACTTTGAATGAGACCAATTTTGATATTTGTGTTTAATAATTTTAAATATACATTGATGGTGATTTTTCCACTTAACTTACCATTTAGTCAAAAATTGTTTATTTGGGATGGGTTACTTAACTAGGTGGTACTGTATTTTCAGTGTGGTGTAGTTAAAATTCAGTTTGGCTGTAAATGCCTGAACTGCTCCTGAATTTCTTCTTATGATATGAATGCTAAATCAGCCTACATTACTAATTTTATCCATAGTCCTCTGACTTTGTGTCTTTGACTCTTAATTTTTTTTTCTTATAGGTTGAAAAGTGAAGGAAAAAGGAAAAGAAACAAAATTGTCACAGTACATGTTTTCTAGGTGTTGCAGGCTTCAGATTCAAATATTAACTTACCATTTCTAGTTTGTGTGCTGGAGGTCCCTCTTTCAACCACGTTGTGGCTGTCATGATCCCTGCTTCCACTTGGCCTTCTCTCTACACAACGTCAGTAAGAAAGAATGCAAATAGCTATGCAACACAGTGGGCAGCACAACCAGACAAACAACAGCAGTGCATGCCATAGCATTCTTAATGTTATTTTTCAACCTGCTAATTATATACAAAGGTTTACGTAACATTTTAAAATACTCCTAATTCTTAAAGTTTACTTTTTCAGACACAGAAAACTAATACTTTCCAGCCAACTTCATTAAAAGTACTAATGGGGAGAGAGAGAGTGAAGAAATGTTATATATTTACCCAGTATAATATCCGTAACAACCATTCCCATATAATAATTATGGTAAGGACGTATTAACATTTTAAACACCACAATGTTGAATATTGGAAACTTGATATCCTGGCCTATATTGTTACTGTATTTCTTGTTCATATTCATTTAAAAATACCCCTTAGGTGTAGTGGACATCAAAATAAAAAGGTCCATCTAATATGAAATTAAAAGCAGTATTTTAGTTATATAACAGGTTTGCTACACTTTGGGGAAAGTATTTGCACTTTAAAGCTTCTGCTGTATTATTTAGCAGGAGTTCTAATGGTCTAGATTCTAGAATACTAAATTCTCCTCAAAAGGAAATCATTTTTTTTTAAGGCTGTATTTGTTGACAGAGCAAGAAGAAATACTACTACCATTACCAGTTACAAATGCCCAACTTAGGAATACACAGACATACTAATGGCATGGTCCAGCTACCTGGCATCCAGGGCAATGAGGGAGAGTCTCCTCTATGGAACTCTAGGGAATGATAAACAGTTTCTGAATTACTACAAGTCCTTTATTCCCCATTCCTTGAAGCTGTTATAGCAATGGGATGGGAAGCCTCATTCCCAGGCTACCATTTATCTCCGTAACAGAAGCTAAATGGCTACAACAGGTGAAAGTGGCAGTACTAGAAATCTGAAAGCTGTTGAAACTCTTTTTATAAAATAGATAAATGGCTACTCCAGTTTTAAGCTGCTCAGGCCCAAACACCTTGGAGCCATCCTTAACTCCTCTCTTTTTCTCATACCCTGTATGGACCCATCAGCAAATCCTGTCAGTGCCACCTGGATAATATATACAGCATCCAGCCACTACTCACGCCACCCACCACTTCACCCTGGCTGGGTTACTGCAGTATCCTCTTAAATGGGTTCTTGCTTCTGTCCTTGTACTTCTATCGTCTAGTTTTCAATAGTAAGTCAAGTTAATGTATATCAGGCTATGCAGAACTCTTTAATTGCTTTTTGTCTCACTCAAGTAAAAGTCGAAAGTTCCTGCATGGCCTGGCTCTCCGTCATCTCTCTTGCCCCATCTCTTGCTCTCTTGCGTACTCTACCGCAACCAGTGTGGCCTCCCTGAAATTGTGATATCACATGGGGCATGCTCCTCCCTTAGGACCTCTGCATTTGTTTCCCCTGTCAAAAACACACCTTCTTCCCTCACCTCTTTGAATATTCATATGCGGCCTTCAGAGTGAGGGCTTCCTTGGATACCCCATCTAAAAATGCTCCTTCCTTGACAGTTCCTCAGAACCTAGCATAATACACTCTGTATTTCACTTATTTATTCCGTTTGTCATTTGTCTCCCCACATGGAATGCAGACTTCTGGTAGACAGAATTGTTTTGTCTATTTTGTTCTTTTATGTAAGCACAGCTCTATGAACAGTACCTGACATTTCACAGATGCTCAATAAATACTTGTAAAATGAACTCTCAATATCTATCTTTGAAGAGAAACTATAATATAGACAATGGAAAGTCAATGCAAAATAGAACGAAATTGCCCAGAAATCATAAGATTTTTAAAAAGTATAAAAATTGAAATTTTTACATCTTAAAACATTTTTAAAAAGATTTTATACAACCTTTAAAAATTAAAAATGTCTCACATGAAGTGAAATACTTCTTTTACTTTATGATATGTGCTTCCACTATATGGGGCTTGAAATAATAACGTTTCGAATCACGTTTTGGCCCAAAGCAGCAAGAATCTAACCAACCCTGAATAATTTTAAATTCTGATTGATGACAAATAAGCAATTTTAATTTAAAATTTAACTTAATAATCAAGTGCCAATGATATGCCTAGCAAGACAAATGCAGGACATGGATGGCCTTGTCACCCTTTATTAATATCAATTAGAAAACAGGTTAATATCCTTCGTGTTCTGGCATACTGAAGAACTTAGGTATTTTTTAAAAATAAAATGTAAGACACGGATGGTCCTGTCATTAATAAACACTTCTGAAGGTGAAATAAGATATTCTTAGAATAACCAGTGAACAAGAGGACATTTGTGTGTGTGTGTGAGACTGAGTCTTGCTCTGTTACCCAGGCTGGTGTACAGTGGCACAATGAAAAAGAGAACTTTCTTTACTTAATAACTTGTCATCCTGATATATCTTATAGAACACTTGTTTAACAAAGGAATAGGTGGTTATTCTGACAAAACAGATAACTTTGTCATATATGACAGAAAACAGGATAATGTCATGCTAATATTTTTATAGACAAGGATTTTAACATGAATATAGGCATGTCAAGTAGTACTTTAGATGGAGATGGCAGCTGGGTGTGGGAGCTAGAGGGCAAACAAAGCTATTGATATGAAGAGAGGAACTGAAAAGAACAAATTCATGAAAGAAACAGCATATTTAAAAGCAAGGGGGAAAAATACAAAATGTGGGACTCCAAATGGGCCACTCAATTCAGAATCAAATGTAGTTACTATAAAATAGAAACTCAGCAGTATACATCAGAAATTGTATAACAGTAACATTTATAGGATTCAAATAATATACACCTTCTTCTCCCCCATCCATCCAAGTTTACTGCTGAACTTGCTTAGCATTTGATTCCTGACATTACATGGTTATTATGTAAACGTTCTCTTCTACCTCCCATCAAGATGGTTTAAGTTCCTCAAGGGCAGGAACCAATTTTTCCTTGAACTGTCTTTATGGTACTTACTGAATAAATGAAGTACATTAAGATTTTACTACAAAGTCCTGGAAGTCAAGGAAAATATCCTGAAGTTCTCTAAGACTCAGTTTCCTCATCTATACCATGAGGAGGAAGAAAAAGATGATATTCCAGGATTTTATGATACCTATATGAATATCAATTAGAAAATAGGTTAATATCCTTAGTATGCTGGCATATAAAAGAACTTAAAGACCTTTTTAAAAAAGGATATAAAATCTTTTGTTTTAAGAATAAGAAACAACTGTATGCTGAGGATGAACACAACGGGGAGAGTTTAAAATATTGGTGTGGAATTTTTATTGGGAACAGAAAACAAAAATCTCCATGAAACATGAGAGTACATCTCAGGGAGTATTTGGTAACTTTTAATCAGAACACATTTTATGTTTTGTTTATTTAGGAAAACCTCTTTTTTTAGTTCTTGACTTCAACAGCTGTTTTCAAAACAATAAACTTCTCTCCGCCCATCTTAAAATGCCCTTGCAGTACATACTACCTAGTATATGTGTTTGTGTGTGTACATTATTTATAATTACTCTAAGGAAAATCTTAGTTTAGAGATAAAATAATTCAGTTCTTACTCTCTAAAAGTAGAAATTCCAAAGCATTTTTGATAAAGAAAGCCAGAAATTTCTCTGAAAAGGCAACAGCAACTGTATTTCAAGTTTCCTGAGGAAGAAAAACTATATTTAAAATGTTATTGAAAAGGTCAGAGAAGAAGTTCACACCTCCAGGATGTCCCTTGTAAGACATGACCCTTGCGACCTTAGTTTGAAGAGGTTATGGATCCCAAAAAGCTCTCCTTGATGCTCTTTTGATCCTTGAACTGCTTCAAAATATCGTTTGGCATTTTCACTTCCAACCACCACACAGTGAAGTTGCTAAAACAGAAAAAACGCAAGATACTTTTGAAGCGTTTGCTCCAACAATATGTCAGAATTTCCTGGCATTCCCTGTATATACACAGCTTTAGCTGGAGCAGGCAGAATCTCCTCAGGGAGGAAATTTTGTTTTAATTTCCCTGGCAGATGTTGCCATTATGGTGAAATAATCATAATCTGGCCAGTCTTATTGAAGCAGAGATCTTATATTTCTTATTTTATCTATTTTCTAACAACTGAGTCAAGATTACATCTCTGTGGAATATCCACCTGACATAAATGTTTAATAATAAAAGCCTACATTTGAATATACTTTTCTCCTTTTTAAATTCTTATTACAACAAGAACTACTAAAACTGGCAGAAGTAATTACTATACCACTAAAGTTAAATTGCAGTCTAACGTAATGATACGATAACCACCTTGGTGTCAGACTAATTGTGCCTTGACTACATTGCATACTAACAGCAAAAATGCTATCACTGCTTTAAGAAACAATGCATCTTTGAAATAATTTTGAATATACAAAGAACACTGACATGGAACATTTAGAAACACCATTTCAGTATTAACATTAATATGCACTCTCTATTTGCTGGATAGTTTACAAAATGTAATATAAATACGTAAAATTAAAATACAATCTGATCAACCCCATGTATACTTTAACATTTCTTGAAAGAAACGAAGAATGAACAGAATGGAAAATAACTTCAGTTTATTCCTGGAGGAATTACATGCTTAAGGAGAAATGATGCTTAAGGGCCAGGTATAATGGCTCACCCCTATAATCCCAGCACTTTGGGAGGTGGAGGTGGAGGTGGGCAGATCACCTAACGTCAGGAGTTAGGGACCAACCTGGCCAATATGATGAAATCCCTTCTCTACTAAAAATACAAAAATTAGCTGGGCCAGGTGGTGGGCACCTGTAATTCCAGCTACTTGAGAGGCTGAGGCAGGAGAATCACTTGAACCTGGGAGGTAGAGGCTGCAAGTGAGCTGAGATGGTGCCACTGCACTCCAGCCTGGTTGACAGAGCAAGACTCCGTCTCAAAAACAGAGAGAAATGCTTACCTGTTGAGATTATCATCAGAGTTCATTTGCACTGTAATAAGTTACTCTAACAGCTGCCATTTATTGAACATTTATTACATGAATAGCATTTTATTTACATACTCTCATTTTATCCTCACAACCTTGTATCATCTCAATTTTAGAAATAAAAGAACTAAAATTTTTCTATTTTAAAAATAAAGTAACTTAAGTTTAGAGAAATGAAGGGACTTGCTCATAGCTGTCAGCTAAGAAGTATCACTCCTAGAATGTGTATCTTGGTTTCGCTGAATCTAAAATTTACTAATTACTATTTACTGTTAACTAACCTCTCACTTTCAAAATGCCCCTCTTAAAACCCTTGGGACCTTCTGGTATATAAAAGAAGTTTTAAAGAACTTACGGATCAACATACCAACTTGATCAGTTTGATACCAATATTCCAGAAACATGGGCTGTAATCCTGGGAGTACAGAATTACCATAACAATTGATACAAGTAATAGCCCAGATACAGCTAGTGCTCGACTTACGACCACGATTGGTTCCGACACACTGGTCGTAACACGATTTGGTCGTAAGTTGAGTAGGCTATATGCATGCGGAGACGGTAGTGCTGCCGGAAGCTGGTCCGCACTGTCTACGCCCAGCTGGGCAACGTTTGCGCTGCCAGATGTGGAGCAGTCGTGGCTAGCGATTGTGGTCGTAAAGTCGAATGGTCGTAAGTTGCATAGGTCGTAAGTCGATCAATACCTGTACCTATTTTACCCTTGCTATTGAAACTACCTTAAACACTCAAATTGTCAGACTGCAGGAAATCTAACTATAATCACCGAGATAATTTGCAGCCTTAATTTGAGTCTTTATAAGCTTCCTAGCAAAGTTTTATCACAAAATTTATAAAAAGCACATTATTTTGTACGTTTTTGTTTTCCAAAGTGGCTCCAGTAAAAGTGGAAATCAGGTGTCTCCATCCGTAGGCTATTAAAAGAATCATGTTAGAATTCAAGAGGGTAGGGGAACAATTAGTAATTAGAAAATGTAACTTAGTTTGTAGCTTAAGAAAAATCCACGCAGAAAAGAAAAATGCCTGGATCTCATCCTAACAACACACAAAATAAACAAGTTCATGACTGTTCTTCCATCCTCAAGCCCAGTGGTGTGGCATCTTCGTATTTTTCTCTCTGACCCTTTGCTTCCTAACCATGGGTTATTAGATAATAGGGTCAGAGAAAGCAGAGATGAAGGAGATGTGCACATCTGACCCTTGTTTTAAAAATCCTTGTGATTACATTGGCCCATCTGGATAACCTAAGTGGCTTGGGGATTAGGAAGTCAACATCTTTGGAGGACTACTATTCAGCCTATCACAGTAAAGAAGTGCAAAAAGAATGATCAGAGCAAGCAGAAATGACATAGAAACCACACTAATGGGTTCCCACTAGTCAAATACGAGACAATATGAACATCAAAGTAAATAGTGATATTCAATGGGTTGTAATCTGTTACAAAAATAGGAAGCCATGAGACCACACAGATTAAATAAATAGAAGGGAAAGCTCATTAATGGTAGAGTGCCAAAGAATAATCAAGAAGGGTAATGGAAATAGAAAAATCACCACCTGACAACCATTATAGTGGTAGCTGATTCAGACAGGAATCACAAATGAACGCTATGGCTGATGCGTGCAGGTTTGATGAGGAATGGAATGAGGAACTGGCAGTCTCACAGGATCTCCCCATAAACTACTTATCAATTACAAAGAAAAAAATAGTAACTTTGCAGTGAAGAAACTCAGCCAACACAAACTTGCCTTGTGATCAAGGTTAACGTGAGGAACAGTTAAAGCAGGCCACTCTCATGTGATTTCTGACTGATGCAACGAAAAGAGCACAGCATCGTGCCTGTAATATTTGTGCCAATACTGCTTGGCCTGAGTCCGGACATGAGGAAACATCAAATGGACCTAGGCTGAAGGACATCCTACACAAAGAAAGGCCTTATTCTTTAAAATGGTCAAGGTCTTGAAAGACAAAGAACGTGTGGATAATTACCCCAGGATGAAGAAAACTGGAGACACAAGCAAATGGAGCCATGATCCTTGATTAAATCCTGGACCAGAAGGAAAAAAGAGACCTTGCTGGGAGAGGTGGGGAAATTGAATGGGTCCTGTGGATTATAGCATCATGTTTTATCAATGTTAATTTCTTGATGTGAATAACTGCATTTTGGAGAGGAGCATGCGGGGCAGGGAAAACCAGGTGCAGAACAGTATATACAACCGAGTGTTTAGAATGTATAAAACTTTTTAATGTATATATTAAGTAGGAGAGTGTACTTCTTTTGGGGAAATACACACTGGAAAATTTAGAGTGTTGGCAGGAGAGTGTTGTTTCTTTGGGGAAATACATGGCGGTGAGAAGTCTTAAATGGCTCAGAAAAAGAATAATGGCTGACAGAAAGAGAAAGCAAGTGTGTAAAATGTCAGCAAATAGGGAATTAGAGTGAAGCTAATTGGGGGTTCTTTGTGCTATTCTTGTCATTCTTCTGCAAATACTTATAAATTTACACACACACACACACACACACACACACACACACACCCGACACAAGAGATGAATTTCTGAATGCCAAACTTTAGATTGCTTAAATGTTCCAAGCCTGAAGGAGCACAGCTGCTGTATAAGTGATGTTTATATTTTTAAAATGTATAAAATATCTTGAATGCATTATTACAACAAATGCAACAAAAGATATCAAAATAAAAGCCCCTGATGAACGAACAATACAGGTCACTCCTTACTAGTCTAACCAGTGCTGTAATGTTTAGGTATATCCTTCTAGACATCTTTCAATGAAGTTAAAGCTATTTATACATACAGATGCTCCTTAATTTATGATGGAGATATCTCTAAATAAACCCATTGTAAGTTGAAAATACCATTAGGTCTAAAGTAAGTTTTGGAGTTAGCACAGGCTTAACTGGATGTGGCCCCATTGTAAACAGAGGCGCATACTTCATACACAAATAGGTTATCACTTTAGCACCATCATAGAACTGAAAAAATATGAAGTTGAACCATGTCATAAATCAGGGACAGTCTTAACACACAGAAATAGTTTTATGTGTAAGCACATTAAAACACTGTATATATTGTTCTGTAAATTGCTTTTTGGACTCATTTAAAAATGTCTAAGACATCTTGCCACATCAGTACATTTGATCTGACTGCAATTTAATTTTACTGTCACAAAGTAACATAGGTATCAGAATTTATCATTCTGTTACTGTTGGACATTTGGGTTGTAGCCTTTGTTTTTTAAACAAACGCAAGCAATGCTAAATAAAAACCCTTGTCATCCTTCCTTTGTCATCCTTCACTGGGCATATGTGACAGGATTTCTGTCAACTTAAGTATGGGGCCCCTACAATACCTATACTAGTTGTTTCTCAACAATAGTATATGAGCATCTCTCCAATGCCCCGACCAACAAAGAATACCACCAATCTCCCCAACCCCACAAAAAACACCTCAAAATATAATTTTTTAAAAAGCTTTTTGCAGAGTATTTTTTTAATAGCATTTTAGGTTTTGGGGTACATGTGAAGAACATGCAAGATTGTTGCATAGGTACACACGTGGCAGTGTGATTTGCTGCCTTCCTCCCCTTCACCTATATCTGGCATTTCTCCCCATGTTATCTCTCCCCAACTCCCCACCCCCCGCTGTCCCTCCCCTATTTCCCCCCTACAGACCCCAGTGTGTGATGCTCCCCCTCCCTGTGTCCATGTGTTCTCATTGTTCAACACCCACCTATGAGTGAGAACATGCGGTGTTTGATTTTCTGCTCTTGTGTCAGTTTGCTGAGAATGATGGTTTCCAGGTTCATCCATGTTCCTACAAAGGACACAAACTTATTGTTTTTGACGGCTGCATAGTATTCCA